ATCACCACAGTGCAAGCTGTTGAGGCAACATCACAACTACAAAGTGTAATTATCCATTAGAGTGTGTGGGGAAATCTGAATTTTATAAGAAGTTGCATGAGACTTTGCTGGACTATATGGACTACAACATTATTTTGATGGGAGATATGAATGGAGTGGTATCCACAAACATGGATAAGTCGCAGAGACAGGTAGTTACCAAAGATGGTAGACTACCAAAAACTTTTTTTGAATTGACTGACAATATGGATTTGATTGACATTTGGAGAACTAGGAATCCCTTGGGTAGAGAGGGAACCTTCTTTTCTGAAGCCAAAATGACGTGGACAAGAATTGACCAAATCTGGATAACTAGAGGACTGGCACCTAAGACTCGGAAAGTAGAGATCTGCCCTAAAACGTGCTCCGACCATAATGCCGTGAAAATGGAGATGAAATTAACACCAACCGGTTCCTTCAGATGGAGGATGAATGACACCTTGTTTAGAGATCAAGAGGTTACTAAGAAGGCCCAAAAAACCCCGAGAGACTATTTTGAGATAAATTTGAATACTACTGTGGAAAAAAGAGTAATCTGGGACGCAAGTAAAGCAGTTATGAGGGGGTTTCTGATCCAACAGAATTTATTAAAGAAGAGAGCTCAAAATGAGAAAAAAGAAAAAAATTTGGAAAAAATAAAAGAGGGCGAGAAGAAACTGAGAGTGAAACCAAATTCACAAGAGATTCTGAGAGAAATAAAGCTACATCAAGTGCAATATATGAAGATGATGAATCAGGAAATTGAATGGAAAATTAAACAAATGAGACAAAGGACTTTTGAATCGGCTAATAAATGTGGGAAACTGTTAGCTTGGCAGATGAAAAAAAGACAAAAGCTTAACACCATTGCTAATTTGGAAGTGGATGGAAAGAACATCCAGAATCCAGTGGAAATTAGAAAATGTTTCCAGAGATATTTTAAACAGTTATATACACAAGGGCCTCAGAAAGAGTTTGATATAGACCAATTTCTGAAAACAAATGGATTACAAAAAATCTCTCAAGAAAATAAGATAACGCTGAATTACAAAATTATGGAACAGGAGGTAGAAGGTGCCATTCAGAACATGCAGTTGGGAAAATCTCCAGGGCCGGATGGTTTAACCTCAAAATACTATAGAACTTTGAAGGACTGGATAATTCAACCATTAAAGGAGGTTTGCAATGAAATTTTGGAGGGGAAAAAAGTGCCAGAGTCGTGGAAAGAAGCATATATTACACTTATACCGAAAACTGAGTCTGAAAAGACACAACTTAAGAACTACCGACCCGTATCCCTGTTAAATGTGGATTACAAAATATTTGCTGACATTTTGGCCAAAAAAGTATTAGTGGAAGAGATACACAAGGACCAAGCTGGCTTTCTCCCAGGCAGACACTTGTCTGACAACACGAGGAATATAATCAACATTTTGGAGAAGTTGCAAGTGGACATCAATACCAAAGCAGTTTTAATTTTTGTGGATGCCGAGAAAGCTTTTGATAATATTTCTTGGAGCTTTATGAAGAAAAATCTTCTGGGGATGGGGGTCGGTCAAGGGTTTGAAAATGGTATAAGTGCAATTTATTCAGAACAAAAGGCTAAACTAATAGTTAATAATGTGGTGACAGAGGAATTCAAGATAGAGAAAGGGACACGACAAGGCTGCCCAATTTCCCCATTGCTTTTTATTTCGGTCCTGGAGGTTTTGTTAAATATGATTAGAAGGGACCATCTGATCAAGGGTATAAAGGTCGGAGCTAAACAATACAAATTGAAAGCTTTTGCAGATGACTTAGTATTGACTTTACAGGAGCCAGAATCTAGTACTAAAAGAGTATTAGAACTGATCCAAGAATTTGGTCATGTGGCAGGATTTAAGTTGAACAAGTTAAAAACTAAAGTTCTTGAGAAAAACTTAACACCGAATGAGAAAGAGAGGTTTCAGAATGAGACAGGCTTAACAGTGGTTAAGAATGTGAAATACTTGGGGATTAATATGACAGCTAAAAATGGGAACTTATTTAAAGACAATTATGAAAAATGTTGGTCGGAAGTGAAAAAGGATTTAGAAATATGGTCAAATTTGAAGCTTTCCTTGTTGGGTCGAATTGCTGCTATAAAGATGAATGTATTGCCAAAAATGCTGTTTTTGTTTCAATCACTACAAATTCTGGACAAAATGGATTGTTTCAAGAAGTGGCAGAGAGATATTTCTAGATTTGTCTGGCAGGGCAAGAAGCCCAGAATAAAATTTAAAATATTAACTGATGTAAAGGAAAGAGGGGGATTTGCCCTGCCAGACTTTAAACTTTATTATGAATCAGCAGCATTCTGCTGGTTGAAAGATTGGCTGCTTCTTGAGAACACAGACATTTTGGATCTAGAAGGTTTCAATAATGTTTTTGGGTGGCATGCATACTTATGGTACGACAAGGTTAAAGCACATAAAGCATTTAAAAACCATATTGTCAGGAAAGCATTGTTTAATGTCTGGACAAGATATAAAGACTTACTTGAAAATAAAACCCCAAGGTGGTTGTCACCGATGGAGGCAAAGGCCCTGAAAAAGCTCAATATGGAGGCCAAGTGGCCGAAATATTGGGAAATCTTGGAGCAAGAAGGAGACAAATTGAAATTGCAGAGTTTTGAGAAACTAAAAGATAAAGTGCGAGACTGGCTTCATTATTATCAAATAAGAGAGGCTTATAATTTAGACAAAAAAATTGGCTTCCAGGTGGAAAAGTCAAAGTTGGAAACAGAACTGTTAGATCCTAAAACAAAGATACTTTCAAGAATGTATAACTTGCTGTTAAAATGGAACACTCAGGACGAGATGGTTAAATCTGCTATGATTAAATGGGCACAGGACGTTGGACATAACATTATGTTCGCTGACTGGGAACAGTTGTGGACCACAGGTATAAAATTTACGGCATGCAATGCCCTAAGAGAGAATATTATGAAAATGATATACAGGTGGTACATGACCCCAGTCAAGCTTGCAAAAATCTATCACTTACCCGATAATAAATGTTGGAAATGTAAAGAAACTGAAGGTACATTCTTTCACCTGTGGTGGACGTGCCCAAGGATTAAGGCTTTCTGGGAGATGATTTATAATGAATTAAAAAAGGTATTTAAATATACCTTCTTGAAGAAACCAGAGGCCTTTCTCCTGGGCATAGTCGGCCAATTGGTGCCAAAGAAGGATAGAACTTTCTTTATGTATGCAACAACAGCAGCAAGAATACTTATTGCAAAGTATTGGAAGACACAAGATTTACCCACCCTGGAAGAGTGGCAGATGAAGGTGATGGACTATATGGAATTGGCGGAAATGACTGGCAGAATCCGAGACCAGGGAGAAGAGTTGGTGGAAGAAGATTGGAAGAAAATTGGAAGACTATTTGCAGAAATACTGTAAAATTAATGAATGTTAAAATGATGTTGGATTGAAAATAAGTGGTTTTGGTAATAAGGTTAAAAGAATATGCAAATACAGATAGTCATATGGACAAAAATATATAGTTATAATAGGTTAAGTTACAGAGTAAAGATAAATGAAAGAGGGTAAAGATTTGCTGAAAGGATTTTGTAAACGGGAATACAAAAAGGGGAGGTGTGAGGAGGTCAAGGAAATAAGTAAATGAGCCTAAAGATATTGAAAAATGGATTTTTCTTTAATTTTTTTTAAGCCATCTGTTTTTTGTATTTTGTATTTCCTTTTTCCCCCTCTTCTAGGTTTTTTTTTCTTTTTTGTATTTTTTTGTATTTTTCTTGTTATCTTTTTTCTTTTTCTGTCTATGTTTTCTTTTTAGTTTGTTAAACCTATGTTTATTGTAAAATCCTAATAAACATTTTATTAAAAAATAAAAATAGAGTGTGTGGCTCCTGCAGTTTTTCTTCTTTTGCGTGTGTTTAAAAGCCCTTTCCAGCATGCCAGACCATTTTTCAGTGTAAGGGCTGGCTTCCCTTTGGGGCAAGCTTGTAGGGGCCAGATCTTTGTGATTGGAGGAGCTTGGAATCTGGCCAGAATTGTTTGGAGAAAGGCTCACAACTCAGACCCAGTTCCCAATGAACTACAGAATGCACCACTGTATGACTCCTCTAGGAGAAATCCCCTCCCCCTGGAAAGAAAGGCTCTAGACTGGGACAGCCAACTCGGCAGATCAATTAGCTGCCAGACTACACTTCCCATTTCCCATAGCATTGGACATGCTGGCTAGAGCTCATAGGACCTGCAGCCACGCAACTTCCAGAGGGCGTCAAGTTAGATTGTACACTTCACCAAACTATGATTCTCATGAACAGGGATGGGGAATCTGTGGCCCTCCAGATGTTGCTGAACTCAGCTCCCAGTCTGTGAGTTTAGGATTGCAGCCGAAGTTATTTTTGCATGATGCTGTGCTGTACCCTGAGGGACGGGGGAAACCAAAAGAAGGGTGTTATGTATCTTCCATAGTTGCCTGCCAGACTAAGGGGTCAAAGGAAGCACTGACTTCTGCTTGCTCTGCAGCAAGGATCACTTTGTTTCAGGTCTGTTGTGTCAAAGCTTCCCTACTTAAAGGGCAAGGTCATTGGCAAAAGAACTGGTGAGCCCTGGTTCCCCATGAGGGACACATACATTTTGGTGTATTTTCAATCTTTGTTGGAAGCCGCCCAGAGTGGTACCTCGGGTTACATACACTTCAGGTTACATACGCTTCAGGTTACAGACTCCGCTAACCCAGAAATAGTGCTTCAGGTTAAGAACTTTGGTTCAGGACAAGAACAGAAATCATACTCTGGCTGCACGGCAGCAGCAGGAGGCCCAATTGGCTAAAGTGGTGCTTCAGGTTAAGAACAGTTTCAGGTTAAGTATGGACCTCCGGAACAAATTAAGAACTTAACCTGAGGTACCACTGTAATAAATTATTATTATATTATTCGTATTCCTTTGGCATTGTTTTTAACCTCTGCATTGAAATAAAAAGGCGAGTTACACACACACACAAACACACACGTTTGTTTGTTTGTGTGTGTGTGTGTGTGTGTGTGTGTGTATGTAAAGGGACTCCTGACCATTAGGTCCAGTCGTGGCCGACTCTGGGGTTGCAGCGCTCATCTCGCTTTATTGGCCAAGGGAGCCGGCGTACAGCTTCCGGGTCATGTGGCCAGCATGACTAAGCTGCTTCTGGCGAACGAGCAGCGCATGGAAACACCGTTTACCTTCCCGCCGGAGTGGTACCTATTTATCTACTTGCACTTTGACGTGCTTTCGAACTGCTAGGTTAGCAGGAGCACTGACCGAGCAACGGGAGCTCACCCCGTTGCGGCGATTTGAACCGCCGACCTTCTGATCGGCAAGTCCTAGGCTCTGTGGTTTAACCCACAGCGCAACCCGCGTGTATGCAATTGAAATTGAATCATCTCGTCAGTTTTGGTCCCAGGAGCAACTTAGAATCATAGAATTGTAGAATCGTAGAGATGGAAGGCACCCCAAGGTTCATCTAATTCAACCTCCTGCAATGCAGGAATCTCAGCTAAAACAACCATGACAGGTGGCCATGCCACCTCTGATTAACAACCTCCAAGGAAGGAGAGCCCACAACTTCCTGAGATGGTTCTACTGTCGGACAACTTTTACTGTCAGAAACTTCTTCCTAATTTTTAGTCGGCATCTCCTCTCATATAACTTGAGTGTTGGACGGGACCAAGAGAGTCATCTAGTCCAACCCCCTGCAACGCATAAATGCTTTGCCCAATGTGGGGCTCAAACCCATGTCCCTGAGATGCTCATGCTCTACCGAGTGAGCTATCGCGGTCTAATAGCGACTGCTCATTTATCAACGAAAAAGCGAGCTTTGTATTTAATTTCACAGCCAACATCACTTGTGTCCAGCAGAGGGCAATAGCACACCTGCCACTAATTTGTCACCTGCTCCTCCATGACACTCTCTACTGACGCGTGTCGGAATCCTTTCGTTTTGTTAGTGCACGTTTGCGATGGATACACACTGGCAGTCTAATCCTGTACTTCCACCAACCAAGTGTAGCTCTGTTCACACAACCACAACCAGGTTGTGGCTATGGCTCTAGATGCAGAACAAGCACCTAAAACTTCATTGCAGGCTGGTGGGATGTTCCCATCACTGTAACAGAGTGAGGAGCTGAGGATTTCTCAGGCAGCTATTAGGCACCAGAAGAAATATAGAGGGGGGAGGCCTTCTTCAGCTTGAGGACCACATTCCCTTCTGAGCAACCTTCCGAGGGCTGCATGCATGTGGTGGGTGGGGCCAGAGGCAAAAGTGGGAGGAGCAATGGATGTCAATGTTACCTTTGTACAGTAGGCCTGTTCCTAGACACACTCTCCCACACCCCTATCTATTCTCCATTCAGACAAGCAAGAGGCATGTTCAGAGTTCAAGGACCCATCCCAGCCAGCAGGGCTTTTTTTCAGCTGGCGAACACCACTGACAAGGTTCTTCTTCGGCTATAAGGCAAATGTCAGTACAGTAGTACCTCGTGTTAAGAACTTAATTCTTTCTGGAGGTCCGTTCTTAACCTGAAACTGTTCTTAACCTGAAGCACCACTTTAGCTAATGGGGCCTCCTGCTGCTGCCATGCCGCCGGAGCACGATTTCTGTTCTTATCCTGAAGCAAAGTTCTTAACCCGAGGTACTATTTCTGGGTTAGTGGAGTCTATAACCTGAAGCGTCTGTAACCCGAGGTACCACTGTATTAGATGAGGTGGCTTTGTTCCTCCTGTTTGCCATTTTGAATGCAAACAGTGGCTTAAGTGATGTGTCTACAAAATGCCGATAAGGAAGGACCCCTTTCCAGGCTAAAACAGCTTTCTTTTCCACGATTAAAGCTGGAATTCTACGGCTGCTGAAGGTTAGAAGAGTTGTGGTATCCGTCATTAAAAAGCCCCTTGATTGGTTTTAAGACGATATTTCCAACAGTACAACCTAGAAGTAAATTCAAATGTTGCTTAGCCCAGTAGGCTGACTTCTAGTAAGGCAGGGGCCCCCTAAATGGAAATAGCTGCAGAACAATCTCACATGATGACATACACAACCAGCCCGGACACAGCTGTGTCACCAGCACTTTAAATTGGGCTGGACACACCAGCAATCAGGGCAATGGGTACAATATGCCCCACTCACCCAATTTCAGTCAGGAGCTGCGTGGCCACAATTGCTTGAAGTTTCCAAGCAGTCTTTAACTCTCTTTAACATTACCACTCTCTTGATCTTTCTGTTCCTTCTTCTCTTCCTCACCACCACTTGGTTGCCTGCCATTATGCCAACAATGATGATAACCAAGAGAAGGAGTGGCATTTCCAGGGGCTTTGCTGGCCTGTGGGCCAGACCTGGCCTTTCCCCCTCCCTGCAGGCCATTGTGAAAGTTGGGAGGGCCAATCACCTGTCAATCATCTATTGCCATCATGCTGTCCAGCAGCAGCTACAAGGAGTGTCGCTGCTAGCACTGTGTCAGCTGATTGTCACTGGCAGCGTGCCCCAATTTGTCTGTTTGCAGATGTGGTTTGAATTCAAACTGTGCTTGCAAATGGACATTTTATTCTGGTCCTATACAGACTAGCCTATTGCAGGGGGTGGGGTGGGGAATGGCTATTTGCATGGGCAGTTTGGATACAAACTGTGTCTGCAAATGGAGAAAGCGGGACTCATGGCTGATTGGCATTGAAGGTGTGCCTTCATAGGGCTCACCTTCAGTGCCAATCAGGTGATACTGATAACAAACTCCCAGGGCTGCACAAGGGGGTTCTCAACAGGGAACTCCTGAGTACAGCTGATCGCAACAGGCTCTCTGTCGGTGCCAATGAGCTGATCAGCACTGGCAGCACGCCCTGCTCGCAAAGGAGCATTTGGGAGCTCCCTTTAAGTTCCTAGTTGCTCCTTTGCAGTCGTGTCCTTATCTGCCCAGCACCCGATGTCACATATGACAACAGGTGTGTGGGCAGGTGGGTTTGTTTAGTGAGAAATGGGCTTGGAGGGGTCAACTTAGGGCCTATGAGCCAGAGGGTCCCCATGTTTGCATCTTGAGGCTGGTTCTCCCATTTTGTCTTCTCCTTTGGATGATGATGATTAGGAGTAAAATTCAGTCAGAACTGGTTGTGTGTCTAGATTTCTTCTTCTCTAGTGGTTGGCCTTAAAGATACAATCCCTTCTTCCCAGTGACAGAAAGGTGTGTGGTAAAGGAAAAGAAAAGAAAGGTAAAGGATCCCTGACAGTTAAGTCCAGTCGCAGGTGACTCTGGGGTTGTGGCGCACATCTAGCTTCACAGGCCGAGGGAGCCAGCGTTTGTCCACAGACAGTTTTTCCGGGTCATGTGGCCAGCATGACTAAGCTGCTTCTGGCGCAATGGAACATTGAAACCAGAGCAGTGCACAGAAACGCCATTTACCATCCTGCTGGACTGGTACCTATTTATCTACTTGTGCTTCTGAACTGCTAGGTTGGCAGGAGCTGGGACCGAGCAACGGGAGCTCACCCCATCGCAGGGATTCAAACCCAAGGGGCTCAGTGGCTTAGACCACAGCACCACCGCGTTCCCAGTGACAGAAAAGTGTGTGGCTTAACAACAAATAAACAAGCACAAACCAAGACAGCTTTAGGGCACCCTGTTATATGTCTGGTCTTCCCTCAAGCTCAGGTGATGAACTGAACGAGGAGATTATTTGGATTCAGAAGACCGAATTGCCACCATGCTAGGAGCCAATGACTGCAGAACAAGGCAGCAGTCTGTAATGGATTTCGGGGTTGCTCGTGCGTAAGTTGCCGCCACTCCTGGCTAGGTTACCTGGTTAAACACTTTCTGACTGAACAGCCTCCAGCATCGTGACTGTCTCAGTCGCTGGCAGAATCAGTGGGCGTTTCTTAAACTTCTTCCAGCACAAAAGTTCCTTGATGCCAAGTCTCCTCCTACTCTCCCTGCACGGAAGTCTTCTGCGCAGGGAGGGTGTGGGCAGCGGAGTACCCGTACTCTCTCCGTTGGTCTCTGGCGAGGAGTCTTGGAGCCTCCTCTCCGATTCCCCCATCTGCCCCCCTTCTCTACTGGTGTTACGCTGATTTCCTTCCCCAGCAGATGGCTGCCTCTCTCCCTACTGGGACCCTCTCCGGCATCCCTCTGGAGCCTTCTCTCCACCTCTGGCTCTGATGGCAGTTCCCTGACACAGTCCTTCAAGGGCACAGAGCAGCTCCTCCAAAAGCAAGACTGACCTGGTTGGCCTTGAGATGGCCTCCAAAGCATGCTGAAGCTATATAGCTTTCTTGCCCTGAGGGATAGCACAGTTGGTAGAGCATGAGACTCAGGGTTGTGGGTTTGAGCCCCACGTCGGGCTAAAAGTTCCTGCACTGGGACTAGATGATCCTTGTCTTCCCTTCCAACTCTGATTCTATGACTGAAGGGTTGGTTGGTTGGTTGGATGCATTTGTAGCCCACCTTTTTCTTCAAGAACCATCAGGTGCCATACATGCATTTTCCCCAACACCACCACAATCCTGTGAGGCAGGTTAGGCTGAGAGGCAGCAGTTCCGATAGCACTTGCCTGAAAGCAATTTTACTGCAGCAGGTGGGGAGACTGCCAGGTTTTCTGGGCCACCACTCCCATCACCACCCCAACCATTCTGGGTCCTATGGGAGCTGTTGTCTGACAATATCTAGATTGGACCATGCTGGTTATCCTTGGTGTACAGTACACCATCCTGAGCTCCTTGAAGGAACAGCAGGATTTTTTAAAATGCAAACTATTTATCAGTAAATTGAAATATGCAGATATTAAATCTCAAGTACAGAGATGCACAGAGCAATTCCACATACAACCCCATCATATGCCACACATATGTGTGCATCACATGATCTCATTTATGCAAGTCATTGTGGAACATGCTTCACAGTGAGGATCTTTTTAAATAATAATAATATTTTGCCGCTTAAAAAAAAAGGTCTATTGAGTCAATCACAATGGGGGGACCCAACCACAGCACACATGCCCCCCCAAAATCCCCTCCAAGCTACTCATCAAAACCTTTGCTAGTTAATCTTTGCTTCTGGGCTGGAAGATGGGTTCTATGCTCTGGGTTTAAACCCAGCTCTTTTCTATCAAGTTCTGTATTTGCAGGACGGTGTCAGGTGGCAAAGCTGCCATACTGCTCTTCTTTTTCGCCTGCGACTTCAAATGAATTCAGCACTGATTTGTTGCCCTAATCGGAATTCATTGACTTCCTGCCTTTTGCAAATTGATCATAAAAACGTGTTAAAAGTCAGTCAAAATGGAAATCCAAAATTACGTGGCCTCCTTACGGTTGCTATGGCAACAAAGGATGTTCCTCTAGATGAAGTGTGTGTGTGTGTGTGTGTGTGTGTGTGTGTGTAAAGGGGCAGGTGTCCCTTCCCCAGATAAACCAAGATACCCTGATTCTCAGCTTTATTTTTTAAAAAAAATAATAATGGAGTATGTTTGTACCATTTGGAGAACATGAAATATGAGACAAATTGTGCAACCATAATTCCCATTTCCTTTTTTAAAAAAAAGCCTGTATTTATTTATTTGGGGCATTTGCATCACACATACACATTCCTGGGGATGCCCATACCTCTCATAGCGATAGTTCAGGGCAGGTCCAGCCTAAGGCCTGTTGCTGCCTGAGGTGAAGAACAAGCTTCTGCCCTCCTTAATACCCCACACAGAAGCATACTGAAATGGCAGCCAAAACTTACTTGAAGATCTCCAATGTTTCAGAGCCCTCCACCACACAGCTCTGTCCTCCCAACATCTCACCACCATTCCCTGCCCCTCAGCCAGTGGCGTAGCGTGGGTTGTCAGCACCCGGGGCAAGGCAAGTAATTTGCACCCCCTAACCCGTGGATTTTAGCACTCGAGTGCAAGCGCCCCCCCCAGATGTTGCGCCCGGTGCGGCCGGCCCCCCTGCACCCCCCACGCTACGCCACTGCCCTCAGCATCCACCACCTTGGGCAATTGCCACATTTGGCCTAATGGAAAGGCCAGTCATGATTTGTTGGGATCTTTGTTCCATTGAGCCCTGTGTACATTACAAGCAGCACTGCTTCCCTTCCACTGCGCCTCATCTTGCACCAAAAACTATGTTGCTCATCTCACCATCTTCTCTGGCAAAACTACATAACATACATAACTGACGTAATTAATTAAGTAAATTACATAAATTGTCGTTACGTCATCACACTCCATTGATTTCAATGCAAAGGAAACACTGTGTGAATGGGGTTGGGGAATGTAGTCAATTACATATTATTTTGCAGATGAAATAAAGCAACAAGAGTAAATACCGCTAGGATTCAGTGGAACGAAGACTGGTGATTTCTGCTCCTGTTACCATTTCTGTTGGAATTCTCTGACATGCCTACAGATTTTGCAGAGTGCAAAAGGGAAGAAGAAGAAGAAGAAGAGGAGGAGGAGGAGGAGGAGGAGGAGTTTGGATTTGATATCCCACTTTATCACTGCCCTAAGGAGTCTCAAAGTGGCTAACCATCTCCTTTCCCTTCCTCCCCCACAGCAAGCACTCTGTGAGGTGAGTGAGGCTGAGAGACTTCAGAGAAGTGTGACTAGCCCAAGGTCACCCAGCAGCTGCATGTAGAGGAGCGGAGATGCGAACCCGGTTCCCCAGATTACGAGACACGCAATTAATCTATGGAACTCACAGCTGCAAGGTGTTAACTTTTAAGGAGGCCATCCATAAGGCAATGTCCAGTATGCACCATCCCCTTCTTGGCACATGTTCAGCCATGGGGAAGAGTTGGATTGTGAATAGGAAGTGAAATGTATCCTTTCCCTTAAAAGAGTGTGGCTTCTGGAGAAGGGGGCTGGAACTTTCAACCATCACCACTCCTGAAGCAGTACCTTTTGGGTTATAAAACAAGCGACACAAATCCCCTGAAAATCTAGTCCCTCTCTTTTAGGGATGGATTTGTTAAGAAGATAAGAGGAACTCTGTTGGATTAGACAAGCTATCTATGGCAGCATCTGTGTCCTGTTGTAGCCAAATGAATACCTGTGAGAAGCCCATTAGCAGGTAGGGATGAAGGAGAAATTTCACACCGTTCACACTTCAGCACAAACCAACAACATCTGCAGAAACAAGACACAAGCCCAAATGAACATAATAATTTAAGAAGAGCTTGAAGGATCAGACCAATGACAGCATCCAGATGCCTGTGGGAAACCCACAAAGAAACACCCATTCTTCAAACTTCACACTTCTCTGAACTTTTTTCAATGCACTTTTCTAATGAAAAGCAGTGTTTGCTAAGAAAAAGTGTACATAAAATGTATATATTGGTCAAAACAACCAACAAAAGCCCATTATATTTGACCTTGGTACCAGAGGCTAGTTTCTGTACACACTCACTCATCCCTCTCTATCCTCTAGCTCAGTGTTTCCTAAACTTGGGTCTCCAGCTGTTCTCGGACTACCGTTCCCACCATCCCTGACCACTGGTCCTGCTAGCTAGGGATGATGGGAGTTGTAGTCCCAAAACAGCTGGAGACCCAAGTTTGGAAAGCCCTGCTCTAGCCAGACAAGGAAGAGGTATGGTCAAAGCTGAAGGATACATTTCAGTCTGGCAAAATCACTTGGGTGTGAAACACAACCCAGTGAGGGGTGTGGGCCGAGTCTGAGTTTCTGCACCCCTGCTATAGAGAAAGGCAAAGGCACAACCTATGAGAATGTATGGATCGTTTTACTGGAACAGAGCAATAGGCCAAACTAGCAAGTTGTGACCCTTCAGAGTTGGACTTCAACTCCCAATGGTCAGGGAGGATGGGAGTTGTAGACCAACATCATCTGGAGAACTGCATCATTAATCCAGACCCGCCATTTAATCCAGCATTCTAATTCCAAATTGCTGGAACACATGTCATATCCCAAAAATTGGGGGATGGGACACCAGTAGCCTGTGCAGCTGCTTCATCCTCTAAAACCCTGGTTGTCTTCATTGCTTTGTGACCCATCATAGGGTTACTTAGATCTTGCCAGGATCAGCCAACAGCACTCCAAAAGTATGACAGATTATGCGGAACAGTTTGCCCTGCCTCAAAGACAGGGGTTAAGAAGATTAAACCAGTTCACTGACATCACTCATCAGACGGAGTAGTCGAAATTCAAGAATCTAGACTGCTTGCTAACACAAAGTTGTGCATCCCTGGCCCAAAACAATGCTGTCACCATTCCTATGAAAACAGGAAGAATTCTTCAGTGGCAAGATCAATTGCCTGCCTGGCCTAGTTCTCAATAACTTCATTGAAAATGTTGATAGTTTTGCATGCATACAGAATTTGTCTCAAGGTACGCAGGAATGCTGTGCAAAGTTTATCTCCCCATAGCTGTTGCTGTGGCCCACTGGTTCAACAGTGGGAAAACAAAGGGCACTTTGGGCTCTTCCAAGAGTCTAAAATGAGCTTTGTCTGAATCTATGGGGTGTGTATGAGGATAGCATCCTGCTCTCACAATCGCCAACCAGATGCCTGTGGGAAACCAGTAAGCAGGACATGAGCACGGGAGCACTTTCCCCTTCTGTGGTTTCCAGCAACTGGTCTTCAGAAGCCACAATGCCTTGTAGCCATTAATTGCCCTCCCTTTCATGAATTTGTCCAATCCTCTGTTAAAGCCACCCATGTCATTGGCCATCACTGCCTCCTGTGGGAGTGAGCTTCACAGTTTAACTATGCATTGTGTGAAGAAATAGTTCCTTTTATCTGCCCTGAATGTGTTCCAACATTCATCTTAATTGGATGTCCACGAGAGTTCTTGTGTCACGAGAGTGGGAGAGAAACTTTCCTCCATCCACTTTCTCCATGCCATGCATAATTTTTATAAGCCTCCATCATGCCACCTCTGAGTCGTCTTTTCACTGAACAAAAATGTCCCAAACGCTGCAGACTTTTCCTGAATGTCCTTTCAACCCTGCCCATTTGTAAGACAACGGATGATTACTCAGGCACCCTAAGGGCTTCTGATAGGGGTAAAAAATGGGGTGGGATGAGAGAAATCGGTGTGAAGATGAGCGAGGCAGAAGGAAAGGGCTGGAAGGGGACAAGGGCAGGATGGAAGAGTGCCTGCCTCCGACACTCAAATCTATGCAGCCCATCAAAAGTGACTTACCATTGCACTGTTAAAATAAAGAGTTCATCCGAGCATGCACAGAGAACCTTTCCAACACCACCCAGCAACTGCAAGGCTTTCTCCTGCAGACAAACTCATTTGCGCCTTTCATTGTGGAATCTGAGCTCCCTACAGGATAAACCCCTGCTCCCAATTTCCCCAAAGTCTTCTGCTGTGTCTTTTACCCTAGCACATCAGTATC